TCATCCTCGTCATCATCATCACCATCATCATCATCAGCATCATCATCATCATCATCATCATCAACATCATCATCATCATCATCATCATCATCATCCTCGTCATCATCATCACCATCATCATCATCAGCATCATCATCATCATCATCATCATCATTTCCATTATCATCATCATCAGCATCATCAGCATCATCAGCATCGTTATCATCATCAGCATCATCATCAGCATCATCATCACGATCATCATCATCATCATCATCATCATCATCACCAGCATCATCAGCATCATCATCAGCACCAGCATCAACAGCATCAGCATCAGCATAAGCATCAGCATCATCGTCATCATCAACATCAGTTTCAGCATCAGCATCAGCATCAGCATCAGCATCATCATCATCATCATCATCATCATCATCATCATCATATTCATCATCACCACCACCACCATCATCATCATCATCAGCATCAGCATCAGCATCAGCATCAATCATCAGAATTAGCATCATCATCATCACCATCACCATTACCATCACCATCATCACCATCACCATCACCATCACCATCACCATCACCATCATCATCATCATCATCATCATCATCATCATCATCATGCATCATCATCAGCATCATCATCATCATCATCATCATCATCATCATCATCATCATCATCATCATCATCATCATCATCATCATCATCATCATCATCATCATCATCCGCAGCCATTTTGGCTCAAGGGTCAAGGGGGCGTAGGGTCAAGGGGCCGTAGGGTCCGCGAGGGCGGGTAAACTGAGGCATTTCCAAACCCTGCTCTCGCGAGCCGATCTTCTGCTTGAAAAACTGCTCAAGGCGCGCCGGATGGCCCTTGCGCGCTGGGGCGCTCGAGGGCATGCGCTGGCCGCGCTCGCCGGGGCGGGCGCTGCTGGCGGCGGGCTCGGCCAGGCGGCCTGGTGGGCCTTCCAGGCTGCCCAGGACCCGCGCGTTCGCGAAGCGGCAGGAGGCGGGCGCTGCGGCGGGCGCTGCGGGCGCAGCGGCGGCCTATGCTGCGGCCGAGGCGGCGGCCTCATGGATTGAGGAGTCCGGCGACGGGGAGGCCCTGTGCTTCCCCCGTTGGCAGGCCTACATCTGCGTCGCCATCGCCATCGGCCTCCTCGTCATCACCAACGTCATTGTGGCCTGCTGCTGTTGCTGCGGCTGCGCGCCCCTCGGTTTCCTCGGATTCTTCGGGGGCCGGGCCTGGGCAGGCCGCAGCCCGCCGTCGCTGCGCACCAGGGCCGCCCACCTCGCGGAGATTGCCGACTACGTCGAGGCCGGGGGCCCGGCAGCGGTCGACGAGACCGCCAGGCGGTTCGGCGTCACGCCGGCTGCTGTCCGCTCTTGGCTGGTTCACTGGCGCGTGGCTCACCACGGGCCTCGCCAGTGAGCTGGTCAGCTGGGCGGGCGCCGCTTCCCTCGGCGGCTGGGTGCGGGACCTTACGGAGGAGGGGGTCCACCCGCACCCTGGCCCGCCAGATTGGGCTCGGCTCCAGCTGATCATCGGGGCCCAGCCCTCCATCGAGGCGGCGTTCGACGCCCTGTGCGGCCCGCGTGCTGCCGGGGAGGTCGGCGAGGGGGCCGCGGGAGGCGGCGGTGGGGGCGCGAGAGCTGCTGGTGGTGGTGGCGGTGGAGGCGTTGGGCTGGGGGCGGCACTGGTCGTGGCGGAGGACGTCGCGGGAGAGGCGGAAGAGGTCGCGGGGGAGGGCGACTTCATGACGCCGGTAGGCAGTGCGCCGGCCACCCCCAGACGTGCCGCCGGGCGAGCGGCTGCCGAGGGGGCGGCCGCTCTCGACGGGGCTTCTGGTGCTGCCCGCCCTTGGGAGGAGTTCCAGCGGAACCTCGCCGAGTGCATTGAGGCCCTCGAAATCGTGCTGGGGGAGAGGATCGGCCCCCTGACGCCGATTGCGGGCCCTCCCACGCCGGTGGCGGACAGCGACGGCTCAGCAGGAGGTCCTGGCCGTGGCGGACGGGACGTAGCTGAGGAGGATGAGGGTGCTGAGGAGGAGGACGAGGAGGAGGAGGAGGAGACTAGCGGGCAGCAGAGGCAGGAGGAGCAGCCAGAGGAATGCCCAGGAGGCGGAGGAGGTGCAGCTGCTGGAGGGGGCGCAGATGAAGTCGGAGGTGCAGCTGCTGGAGGGGGCGCAGATGAAGTAGGAGCTGACGCTGTGGAGGCTGAGGAGGAGGAGAAGGAGGAGGAGGAGGAGGAGGAGAAGGAGGAGGAGGAAGCGGCTTGGGCCTGGGAGGAACGCTTCGAGGTGGCGCCAGGGACACCGACACCGCCGGAGCGGCAGCCCGCCCCTGCTGCGGAGGCGGCGCCTGGCTCCGAAGCCCCAGCGGAGGCGGCAATTTGCGTGCTGGCCCGGACTACGGTGCGTCGGGGCACGGCGTGCGTTGCGTGCGGCCACACGCTCAACGGCCGTGCGCGGAGGCCGACGATGTGGAAGTGCAGTACTTGCCACTCGTCGT